ATAAAAAGATTGAAATCCGTTCAGGACACACAGTACACGTGTTCGCGGCCAACTAAACGTATCTGCGGGTCCTGAACGCTACGCAACCGATGCCGCTACATTTGAATATTTAAAATAATAAAATAGAACTCGCAGGATTTGAATTATTAACTGAATGAACTTCGCGCGGAATTTAAATATAAAAAAAATATGTTACGTTATTGATGTGCCAGTGCTAAATTGACTGTGTTTGTGTCATACCAAAGAGATGTTTTAAGTTATCTGTGATAATTACAAAGATAAGAAACAAAGATGATTGAAGTTTACAATTACTGCAAAGGATGTTCCTCTAGACGACAGCTATTTAGTTATAATAAAAGCAGTAAGTATTTCTACTTTTATATTTTTTATTAATTAGGTACCTTATTTATTGCTTAATTAATTCAAGATATCTTCTACAATTTGGAGAAAATGTAAAGATAAAGATAGCAATTGACATCATTTTAAAAAGCCATTGATAATGCAACAGGGAAAATAATACATTTATAGACATTTTTCAAGTTATGAACTAAACATCATCGGAGATTAAATGATAGATCGATCTATCTGGTACAAACAAAACTAATACATCGGTCGATTTCAAGTAGTTCATACGACCTTTTTTCAAATATTCAATTCCATTATGACGTAATATATATTATTCATAATATAACATTCGTAACTTTTCCCCATAGTTACAAGGTGTTGAAGAATAAATAATTTTAATAATAATTAACATGAATGAACAAACAATATACTATAAATTTATTTGTATTGTAATATTCAACTTGTGCACACGTCGTGTTAAAAAATGTCCATCAGATCTGATAATTCCACTTGTAGGTCACAGCTTGAGTTATGAAAAGTAACCCTTTCACATAATTTTTAATTTAAGTAGTACCTTGTTATGAACTTGAAAGTTTTAAGTACTTTATTTAATGTGCGTTGCATAAATCACAAATAACGGAATAATTTATACTGTTCCCTCCTTTAGGCACATACTAACTTAGTACTATGTTTTAAAGAAACAAGTACGTAAAGGTAAATACATACTATATCATCCTTAACGGTCCTCAACTTTCGTATACAATAGCCAATAGCGTTGTAAATAATATACCACTGAAGTTAACCCAAGGCCGCAAGAGATTATAAACAACCTCTTTTCTTTAGATCTTCCTTCTTGTACAGACTAAAAAACTTTCGTTCGTTTTAGCAGAGCAGTTTGTCGTACTGCAATATTGTAGACTTATTTTTAATCTGTCGGGTTTAGATTATTAATGTAAAACTTCGAGAACTTTGTCAACCTCTTTAGAATAATCAGAGATATATAAATCTCACAAACAATTAAGTTGTCAATATAAATCGGTACATATTTTGATGAGACTATCAAATCATTATCGAGAATTGCAGAGACGCTATATTGCTGCCTTAACACAACATCACTCTACTCGAGATACAGACAACGACGATGTGGGATCTTTTTATTTATAAACGATTTACTGGAATGAATTCTGAAATTTCTAACTATATTTTTTCCAAAAACAATTAAAGAAAATATTCAATAAAGTCTCAACATTATTATAGGATAAAAAATAAATAAAGTAAAAAAAAAAAATTGATCATGGTTATATGAGCGCAGTCATACACACAAGACAATTTGTCAATCGCGCACATATCTTGGTTCGTAAAAGTTTGCCGGCAAGTTTTACCTAGAGTTAGTAAAGTTCAAAGTTATCTAAGTGTATTGTTTGTTTGTATTAGCATTTGAAATGTTGGTTGAAAGTATGATTTATATTGCGGCGTTCAAACAATGCCATTTTGCTAAAGAACGGTGTACGCACGCGCAGATGGACACGGCCGCGGAAGCTTAGAGTTTACGGTAAACTTAGATTAACTTCGACTGTTTTGGTTACAATGAACGTCGTAAAACATATAAGGGACGTAAGTCCATAGACAAAGAAATTGCTTTTAAAGTACGTGATCAAAAAAATTATCAACCAGTCACTTTCTTTCGATATATTATAAAAATTCACACATCGCCTTTATGATTAATTATTTTGTTCCTGTAAACTTATCGGTCATTCAAACGAATATTTAAAAACAAAACAGATAAAAACAAATACTAAAAGTCAAGTGAAATTCTTTGTAATATGTTTATAAAATTGATAATACTTACACGTTTGCACACGTTTACACGTGTACGTTTACATTCACGCGTTTCAATTTTCACATAAAGTGCAGTTGTAAAGAAATAGGTCCAAATATCGAAATTCACATTCTTCATAGAGCGTATAATTAGAGGAGTGCCAAACAAAATAATTCTTCTAAATAGAATATCACATTACATGATTTTTGCCTCCTGCGGAGTTAAGAGATATATTTTTTTTTAATCGGCTACGTCATCTAAGCTAATGTTTCACGCATAGACTTTCTAAGAGGATGAGTAATCGTGAACTCATTTTTGCGATACGACACCGCTTTTGTAGGCTTTCCAACGACGGTGTATTCGCGGCTCGACTGAGATTATTTAATTTTAAACAACTTCAAAAAGAAGTACTCAATTCGGCTTCTTATATCCATACATTCGTGACTTGGATTCGAAATAAACTGATCCTTATTAAATTTAGAAGTTTAGAATTTTATTTTTATTTAGAATACATATTTTAGACGTAGACAACTAGAAAAAGTGAAGAAGAATAAAATTCAATGACACTATTCAAGAATTGCAAAATATCATAAAAGAAAATAAAAAATTGTAATTATTAAAAAACTACTCGTCATTAATTGACGAAAATTTTGATACCTCAAGTCATGATTTTAAAATGTAAATGTAACAATATCCCTTTACTGTGAAAACTGTTCAAACACGACGTAATTTACTTAGTCTGTTCGTTATAAGGGTTGATTCGGCTGTGCAATTGTTAAGAACATTTAATTCATTCATTCATTTAGAAAAATATAGACAAAATGCGAATGGACTGAACGCAATGCAAATCCACTTTTCTACCCACTCACTGTGGAAATTTGGAAAATCCGTGAGTCAGCGATGAGACAAGCGCCGGAAAAGCCTTTTTCGCTACTCAATTATACATAACAGCACAATGGCACAGATTAAAATAATGAAAAAAAAAAAACAGTCTGGCAATGAAAAGTATCATTATGTCACTGGCAAACGAGAGCGACGCTGTGGGAAACTCCTACGAACATAAAAAAGTCATGAAGAATCACAATGAACAATCATTGTGCTATTTCTAGGTTAGGTTCAATATAACTTTAATTGATATGTAAACGTAGTTATTATTATTGTAGTAAATTAGTACGTTGTGTCATTCATTTACGTTAATACACAAAATAAATTATAGAAACCACATGATTTGCAAGTTAAATATTTTTATCAAATATGAAACGTAAGTAAAATAAGTTATTAAAAACCAATTAAAAAAACTTTTTAGCAATAATATGTCACAAAGTACAAAAAAATTATCCCGAAAACTATCTACTAATCAGAAAATAGAGATATGTTATAAATTATAAACATAATTATCCTTTATTGACACTACCAATAAACGTCTCACAGTTGTGTCTGCCTTGTTAACCAAAGGACAAAAAACGTGTCAAAGTAAATATGAAAGTGCCGGTTCATACTACGCACACTTAAAACCACAGTGTATAAAAATATTCTTACATATAAGTTTAAAGAAACACAGTATGATTATTCAAATGTATGGAGTTTTATTAGACTGGCGCAAAAGTTTTAGAATTATGAACACTGTTTGCTCGTAAACACGTAGGTGAATCTGTGCGTTTATCTGTGTCAGACGAGTGTTTCCCAGACTTGATTTATTTCTTATTTGTGTATGCTTTTCGTGTTTAGTCCTTTCGTTCTTTTTCGCGGGGACATGTTTGCGCTTTGTTCAAATATTCGAACGAAAACGAAAGTTTTCCGTCTTGTTTTTTAAAAAGGGCTATACAGAAGCGGATTTGTTTATCATCGTACGAAAAACATTCTCTATACGTAAACGATCGAGGAATTTTGTTATCTAGAAATTTTTCAGATACATACGCGATAGATAACATTCAAACAATCTAATTTCTAAAACGGAAATTATAGCCGATAAACATTATAAGAATTTCCAGTTTAATTATTTTTTTAACAATTTTAAGACGTGAACGTGGCTTCTGTGTCGTTTAAGGGTCAATAGTCAAATCAAAAAATCAAAACTATGCAATCAATCAATCGTGAAAAATTAGGTTATTGTGATCGACAAATCGCTATGATTCTATAATTTAAGATATGAAAAAATAGTTTCATCCAAAATTGCGAAAACCTTAGAAGTTTGCAGGTTTTCACCGCATTAAAAACAATGTGGTTGCGAACTAACGAACTGACTAATAACGCCCGATAAAAGTTTTAGGATAGACTCATCGATGAATCACCATAAGACTAGAACTGTGGGTGCCGTGGAGACGACGTGTCTGAAAATTCTGTTCGATTTAATGATTTTTAATAGACGAAAACGTTTGATAAGTTTTACATTTTAAAATATTTTAAAAATATATAGTCAAACTTTGTTATAATTTTTATAATAGAAAAATGGACGAATATAAATATAAAATTAAGTTATTTGTCTTTTTAATATTAAAAATGTTAAAGAAATTATAATAGACATAAGTAACACCGTCATTGTATTATACTTGTCACTATTTTTGAAACTAATTGCACAATTCTATGAATCATTAAATAACAATGACGCAATATTTGGTCTTTAATTATCTAGGACATGATGAAAATGTGAAAGTATTTGAGCAACGTGAATTTATTATTAACTACAATTTAAAATAGGATCTATTTTTCTTAAGACTTAGGAAGTCACCGCAAGGGTCCTTCCGACGGGGCGTTCGAGTATGAGATTTCGCATAGTTTGAGCGGCTATTTCATGTACGGCGAGGCATTTCGGTGACCATTCATCGAGGAGGCTGCCCGCGCGCCGGTCTCGCACACTCGCTCCTCGCACCACATCGGTGACACACGCTATCGACATCGAGTGCGAATATTTTCGAGTGCTACCAAATTTGAATTTAAAAAGTGAATTAGGAATACTTTTTTTTCTTTTCGCGCGTGTTTCCCAGCCAGTGTTACATTCTTCCGTTCACGTTTTCGGAAATCTGTAAAATCGTGTATGAATATGGACTTGCTTGAAGGAACTACATCAATGCGTTGTTCATGGATGTCTTTTTAACCGGTGCGTGTTTTTTTTAGTTTTAATATTTACAATCTGTCGATTATAATATGAGTTGTTTTATAAACATTAAGCGTCAATTCGGTAGTCAAAAAGTTGCGTCGTTAGAGGGTAGTGTTTACGTTCACAACTGTCAATTTTATTAGGGTTATTTTTTTCGTGTTTGTTAAATAAAACAAAAAAATAGATTAAAATTAAATTTTAGATATCCTTTTTTATGTGTTTCCATATGGATTATGATTTCATTGCATTAAAATATTAAAATATCTATTTTTTTTTTAATCTAAAAATAAAACCAAACTTTCCGCCTTCATTTATTTTATTCAAGCTGAGAATCTTGACTGAAAAGTTCGGAATTCTCGCAAAAAAAAAAACAATTTAAAAGGAACAACCGTCAACCGTGATAATGGGACCTGTAAAGGGCCCGAAACGTCGGTTTGTTTGAAAAAACACATACATATATACGCGATTTAAATCCGGAAAAATAGTTTCATTTCCTATGTGTAACAATCGCGAAAACCTAAGAACTCGATAAATTTAAAAGGAAATTATTATAAAAACAAACGCTTATAATGGCCAATTACAAACATAACCACTTAAATATTTCGTAACGAACATCACTCATTTCTTAAAACCGTTGCAAGCAAAATCGTGATCATTTTTGGAAGTGGACAATAACATATCGAGAAAGACATATCAGCGCTACGTGTGTAAATGAAAAACGCTCACCGTCGGCGATCGATCAAAAGAATACTTCGCTGAATCTCGCTACCACGTCATGCGATACTTGGACAAAGTTTTCGCATTCGGTAGAACTTATATTTACTTCTGTCACTTACACTATTATCCTTGTCATAAACAATGTATTTGCATTTTAGTAACTTTCGATATATTGGCACGTAATTTTTTTTTAAATATAAATTACGCTGAGTTTGCATCACAATAAAACTGAAAATAAATAAGTATATAAAAAGCGCTTATAGGGGGGCTGTAAATCTCGTTTCGCTGTTTTTTTTGTAATATCAAGTGACGGGACGAATAAGTCGTGCGCCTGATGGTAAGCTACACGCCTGTCAATAACAGTTGCAGTGCCACTCAGAGCTTTACATAGCAAAGATCTGAGGGGCACTGCCGCTGCGCCCGTCACCCTGAGACATAAGTTGACAAGTCCCATATGCCTGTAATTTCACAAATATTTCAGATATAATAACACAATTTCGCTAAAAATGGTTACTACGTTGTATATGATAAGAACGGCAGTATTATCTTCGACGAAACAAAGGTTTTGCTTGCTTTGGTTTTGTTTTTCACAAACATGTTTCAACTAGATCCGCTAACTCGATTTAATAAACAAAATTGATTAAAGAAAATAATGCAGTTGCATTAATAGAGTTCCATTTTGTTGCCATTTTCTTTATATGACCTTTTCAGAAAAAGATAACGCTGTAAGTAATCAAACTTAGAACTATTAATAGCATCAAGTTTACATAATCCAACGCACCTGATGATTTCATTTACTGGTTGCAACTACTTTGTTACACAATAACATAACATTTTATTGTTGGTCCTTATAAGTTATTTTATTACATCTGTAGTTCAACTCGTGTTATTTAATTAACTATAACGTCTTGCATTTATAACAAATAATCATTAATAATTTATTAAATTAAATTATTAAACTTTGCATCTAAATACTTATGCAGGTAAAAATAATTATAATTGTTTTTGTTTTTAAACACGTTTTGTATATAAAACTGAAACAATAGTGCGCGTCTGGGGAAACCCCGCAGTTACCAAATCTTATCATATAACACATTCCGTGTTGTACTCGCATTGTCTATGCACGCATTCGATATAGTTAATTTAAAACGCTACTGAACAATAGCCTTTAGCCCAAAAACCACGATCAAAATATAACGTACACACTTTCCTCAAACAGATTCCCTACCAACGGCTCTCGATCGAAAATCAGAACCCTGTTTGCGCTCAATACATTTTATATTAGTGACTGTAAGAAGTATGATAAACGACAAGTTATTTATTAAGTAATATTAAAGTAATTAAACTACCAGCAAAAAATATTCTACCGAAATGTTCATAATAAGGCATTGAAAACAAAAACAAATGAAGCCAGTGTTAGAGTATGGCTATTTTGGCATTATTTAACATACATTAAATTGTCAACGACACGGATTGACCTAATGATTCACTGACCATAAACTCGTTTTATCCTCGTTTGACGTAAACCAAGGTGTCTATATCGGTCAGTTATTGTGATAATCTATTTGTTTTTTTTTTCTAGTTGCGCGTTCGGTATTAAAAATTTATAGTTTGCAAAGAATGTCGAATGCTTCGATCTTTCTTTAACCCCGTCTTTTACAAATTTAAGTTTTTGTTTAAAAAAACAAATAAGGAAAACATCGCTTACCAAATACTTAATAATATGTTGTCTAAACTTATAAAGTTCTAAGTATCGATTCCACAAGTCAAATGTTTATGGCAGATACTTAGAAACGTTGTTTTAAAGGAACCTACTTGTGTCATACTTGTATAACTACAAAATTTCGTCTAATCAAAGTCACTGCGTATTCTTTTGTTTTAAAAACCATCCAGTGCTATATAAAAGTACTAAAATTGCTTCTTGAAAAGATAACTTTCTACGTTTTTAGCACCTGAGCCGGACAAAGCCGTTTCAATGTTGGTGGTTCTCCTTTAAAAGTTTGAAAACGCAGAGAATTGCGAGTCTCTGTTGGAACATAAAATATGTTTTATGACTCCGTCGCAAAACATCAAAAACTTCAATAAGATTCACACGTTAAATCGAACGATGGCCATATTTTTGCGCAAGGCTCCACAGGATAGGTGTGACGTATTTGCTAATCTTCTATTGTGTTAAAATATTATTGGTGACACTTCAATTATCAGGCCGTTAAGCTCTGTACTTCATTTTCATTTCATTTCATTTTCATTCCTTTTTTGTCCTATGACATTTATCCTATATTGTCCTGTATTAGACTGTAGCAGACTACTATAGTCTGCTACAGTCTAATACAGGACAATATAGGATAGAAACACGATCCTTGTGGAGCACCTACCACCTACATTATATCTCAAAACTCGTCTGTCAGGCCGAAATTGATGAAAAAAAAATCACGTGCGCGTTGCATCGACGCGTACCCCAACTCAGGTTTAATGGTCGAGAAAGTGGAGTCGAGATGTAGATCGCCGCGTATACGTAGTGGGTGCCGTGTTTACGATAATCGCGAAGCTTATTATTTTTTATGTGAGGTGGCTCCCGTCCTGGAGTTAATGGGAAGGCACCGGTCCCACAATTGGAAACTTCTCATTGCAACGTTTTATTTCCTACAAACCCTTGCACTCCATAAGAACTTTTATTATCATACCAGTAACGTTGTCCTTGCCAGCTGCTTTCAGAAACTTTTAATTATTTAATTAGTATAAATATATTTTAGTTTTATCCTAATATCTTCTTGTATCAATACTGTACAGTAGTGTAACAACCTCATGACCGTATAATCTAAGAATTATACTTGTCACCAATTTTCACCTTGCCCTTTTTCGCAAAATTTTACACCTCCGACATCGTCATCGGATGTGATTGTCAGTTCCTTTCCAGACACCATATCGTGAAAATTAATCTACGTAATGATAACAAATGTACAATATAATACACAATGTATGTCAATAGCTTCTTTGTCTGACTTTATCGCTGTAGCTCATTCAATACTCGTCTAGTTGTTGATGTTGTTATGGTAGAATGTTTTATAATTTTTCACAGCATATAGGCACTTTTAAAGCGTTTAAATTTTCGCTTTTCGTAAAAATAAAAATATATCAGAGTGATTAAATCTTAATAGTGATTGTATATTGTTCCAGGTTCGCCCAAAAAGCTGTTGGTAGCTATATCTATAGTAGCAATAATAACAATGTGCATAATACCAACTGAAGCTCGGAGCGTCGAGCACAAGAAACGTCACGACAGGAATCATAAGGGAACCACCAAAGACATGTCAAGGCGACATAACAGAAAGACAGACAGCATGCTACCCACCAAAGAATCGATGAGAAAACCAAAAAATCCTAAAGCCGAATCCTACACTACTGAATTTAACAAAATTATGAGGAAAGTGAGAAACACGAAGAATCACTATACCAACGACTGGAAACTGCTACAACCCGACTTGCAACCTTTCAAAGAAGTTTCCATGCCACGTTGGCTACCAACTGTCAACTTCGTCGATATCCATTACCACAATTATCGACGAGCGCGACGAAACGATACCTCCTCTATTCCTGAACGAAAAGTAAGTACCTACTTATCAATCAATAACTAAATCATTAAACTCTAGGATTTACTTACCTGATGAGTTCATTGGCGATCCTAATTTGTATTAGTCATGCCGCGACATGTCACAGCAAGTGTTCAAGGAATGGTTTCGGTGAATTCAATAACGCAATGTTTTGGATAAACTGTATTTAATATTTGAAGTGAATTTTAAACGTCTGACAGTATAATTATTGCGGTCGATCACTCCGGGGGTCGGGAGAGGTGGTCCAGCCCATCTCCCTGTCCCGTTCAATGTTTTTACATTATTTTTAATTTATTTTTGCTTTATTTGAGCAAAGGTTCCCGCGTGCATTAGCTCAGCTCGCCGCCTCGGTCGAGGCTTAAATGAGGTTTCGTCGAGCCAAATTACACGTGGCCAGCTTTTGTACCACGTTTATTTACTTCACATTGTACTTAAGGGCAATAACTAGATGCTCAAGCCCTTAATTTCCAGCACCGCTTCGCATTTATAAATCGGTGTAGTTTTAAATGTTTTACAGCGGTTTATAACGTTGATATGGCTTCTCTCGGTTTCATTGGCTTCAAACCTTGATTTTATTGACATCTTGAAAGTAGCTTAGCAATATTCGTTAATGAAATATAAACAAACCAATTATTAAGTTAATCAAAACGAAATAACATCAGCACCTTTTAATCTGGATGAGTTATGTTGAAAAAAGCCGCTGCCCACATGATACGGCCAATGAAAAGCGACCTCAAATGACAGGCCGTTCGCATTGTTAGTTATAATAAAAATAAAGAATCGGGCGAATGAAAGAGTTCATTTAAGAATGGTGATATATGAGGCTGAGAAGCTGCGCGGGAGCCGGTTAAACGATTCAAGGAAATTTGCATAGATGGACAGCGTCGATTCCTTCGTCACGCAAACCCGCACTGTAGTTACTATGGTACATTACCTCTTAACTTATGGTAAAGAAATGATGGACAGTATTAAAAGTTTTCCGAAATAAAACGTTAACGTGAACGTTATTATCCGATATATTAGTATATAATAATTGAGACATCACATAACGAAGTTCAAAATTTAGTAACACGTCTTTATTTATATGATTGTCAGTTTCAAGTGTCAATACGTAATCAATATCAAAGTAACGAGCGAGAATCATATAATTTATGCGATTGTGCGTTAGAGCCGCCTCATACTCTGACATAATGAGTCGAACGAGTTGTTTATGGTAATCATCGGGATTATCGATTCTTCTTCGCCGCCTTCGTTCATAAAATATAAAACACACACGAACCCACTAACGGTCTCCTAAGCTCTTTTATTATTTACCGAACACACATCTGGACCGCGACTTTCTATTATGTATTCATATTGGACACCCACTAATTAGTACACAAAACAAAAGTTAATGCGACACGAGACAATAAGTGTGTGTGCATTCGAAGTGACTCGTGCGCTTACACATTACACTGACTCAAGAGCACTGAACATTAGAGCCAATCTTCGACAAACTCAAGAACCTTGTAGTGCCTTAATGTGTACAACGACGAATATTAAATATTTCATATGTAAGTCTCGACAGTTCGTCAATGTATGTCCACTTAAGAAATTCAAATATTTAACATTGGGCAAAGGAAAGCGTTAGAATTCAAGTGATCTCAACTCCGCTTCGGCTTAGTTGACTTACGAACAATTTAAAAATTAAATAATGCTCCAATGAGACGTTAAAACAAAGGGTTTGAGCACAGAACTGAATGGAAGCGCTATTCGATAAATTTATTTTCCATTGACATTGTTTAGTTAATTTTATTTGAGCTGCATGTTCTTGTTTTGTTCGTTTCGCTTCTGCTTTTAATTTATCACAAACGATAGTATACCACAGAAAGTCTGTAAAAATAATGCAAGAAATCATCCATGGGCTTTTCTTAACCCTTAGTCCGATGCATTCCACAAGTTCGACGCTTTCACGCGCCAACGGCTTAACCGGTCACTTGCGCTAGTGTTTGTCCAGTATTTACGATTTAACAAAACAACACGAAATGTTAAAAACACATTATTTGTCCAACTGAGACGAATGTGAACTTACGATTCCGACGACGCGCATTTGTGTCCGACACGTACGCGACTAAACTTAGTGCTTTGAGGCAAACGTATGGTGCATTGTCGGGTTTTCAGTCTCTAAAGGCAGCCTTTAATACGCGGCCATATTTGCTCGCCAAGCTTTTATTGTGGAGTCGACAGTTTCTCCCGTACCACAATGGTCCACCTCGGCGACCGACTAAATGGTTTTATGATCCGTAAAAGAATAGCTATTAATTTTTCGCAATCGGCAATAAAACGCACGCAACAACCGCCGTTTAATATGCGAAGCTGCTAATGCGATTTGAAAAAAGTGAAAATTGGTTATGAAACGACTATAAATTTCGATTAATATCCCAACGTCGTGTAATAAAATTGGAACTTATGTAGAATGCAAAACGTGTAGGTTATGCATGTGATGCACTTTTCTCGCTGTGACGATACATTTTCCAATACATACCCATACAGTCGACGTTGTGTCATAAGAGTAACTAATTAAAAATAACAATTCTAGTATGTGACACATTTATAACGAATACTCCAAAGTAACCGTGTAACACAAGGTTAGAGGATTCATATTATGAAATATGAGTCAGCTGTTCATGAACATTAAGGAGAGGAAGTATGGGATGTGATATGCGATTCCTAATAAACAAATGTCGATTACGTCTGGTGTCAACCGGCGGACGTCGGCCGACCGCGGCGTTCCTAGGGTTAATATATTTCGTGGAACAATGATGGACAGTGACTTCATTCATTTAATTCTCTATTACGTATTTTAAATGCGTTTTCCTGAAGTGTTACTCAGACAATTAAAATTTAATTTTAACTTTGTTTAACGTCTACTTCAAGTTATGGGGTTTTTTTCGGACTCGTTCTGTTATATACTTTTAATTCATTTTCAATTCTAGTAAATTTTAATTGTAATTTACATTTCATAAACAAAATTAATTTATCTTAAGAAATTCTCATTAGTCTAAATGAGGCGACAATAATTCCGCAGAATTCAACACGAGTTGTAAGAATGACTTAGGCGTTTTAACAGGCTTATAACTATCGGTAGTAGAAACCGGATAGTCTAGTAATCTTTATTTATTCGTATTACCGTCATTACATGAACTGGCATTGTCCTAGGACCGAACTAGACCTTATTAATGCTGTATTGCTGTATACAGCGTGTCGTTTATACAACATCATGAAGTCAAAAATGACATCATTTACTTAAAGCACAAACAAAAACGTATTTTGCTTGAAAATTTATTATTTAATATTTATTATTTCAAATTTCAAGCAAACCTGATATAACACAAATATAAATGTATTTTAAAGCGAATCACCCTGTACATTATGCTCTATTGAAAGTACTTAACATATCTACTATATTACAAATACTTAATCAAATTTACGACAGTATACAGATTAATATTCAAGTACATTAAGTTGATGTTACTAGTATCATGCACTACAATTAAATAATACTACTATATAATCTTTGTAACGGTGCGAATGCACAAAGTTATGTAGACATTTACAACTGTAGATTTATACATATTGTAATAGCTTAAGTGGTCTTAAATAGTAACAAAGAATATATACGTACCTATAACCATAGTCTTTATTCTTAAAGTAATAAAAGGAGTTTGTAATAATTATCCTATTGGAATAGAACATTTTAAATATGAAAACTTTCTATTCTATATTTAATTTGATTCGCCTTTCTTAAAACCTTAAATGAATATTTTATGTGATCTCGACACGGGTAGTCGACCACAACTCGCTCGAAAGCTCTAGAAATTAAACAAGAAATCAAATACCTATTGAATTTTACAACTTATCACATTGCTCGCAGAAAAACTGGTGAGCGTTTGAGTTGCGGCAAATACAATGACAACACTGAAAAAGATAATAGAATATTAAAGCAAGGAAATTTACAAGCCTCATGTGTACAAAATAATCAACATTTCTGCTAGTATGTGAAACCCAACAGTTTCTTAAATGGTGTCAAACAAATAACTATGCTCAACTTCAAAGCTAGCATCAAAGCATCTTCGTAATACTGTGTAAATTGTAATGCCGGTTGAAATCACCGATCGCGCATGCCTGTACGCAGCCTCGACACGAATCCTGCGCACTAAACCGCCAGTAACACTAATGCATTCGCTATATTGGGGACAATAAATTTATTTACTACGCAATATGAGCTTACTGTGATACTTAATCACCTTTTGTAACTTAAAAGTTACAAATTTAATCCATGTTTGATATCCATTAATAGAATCTGACAAGGGTGGATCGTCTTGCCAGCCTCATACGGTTGGATACATAGTAAGGAGCTCTCTTAATACCTGTAGTTTTACTAGAACGCCTTGTGGCATTGACAAACAATCATGTTGGTATTTCCTTGTATAATACTTGTAGTTCCATATGCACCGTTTGAATTTTCATTAAAGTTTTAATATTCACGGAATACGGTATCTGTTATACAATTTACTATAATTTTCCGTATTTGAAAATTCGACATACGACTAAGTGAAATTTTCTTTTGTTTCAGTATGCCTACCAAATGCCAAAACTCTACAAGTCACTGCAAGACTTCCACCTTCTCTTCCAGCACCTAGAAGCCTTCAGACTCAATTTCCCTGATGATCCCTACAACACCTACAAGACTAAACGAAAAGAGATCCTAAAAAGGACGATTGGACATTTATACAGCACCATACAAGAAGTAAAAGACAGTATGTTGGATCTTAAACTTAACATAACCGTTCCAGACAGGAAAAAAACAAATTTATCTCACTTGAATTTGGACGTGGACTCAACACAATGCTTCAAGAACGATTATCTAGCTTTTAGAGCATATGGCAACATGCTACAAAATTGGTATTTAGAACTCAGATGTAAGGGGGAAAAACATGTAACTAAAACAATGTGCAAACAGTATTTTCGAAAATTATCACAGAGGAGAGATAGTAAAACTCCTAGTTCGACAAAACGGCGAGGGCTCGCAACGTAATGTAGGCTTGGCTACTTAATTTGGTTAAGTAGCTCGCGACACTACCTCGCTGCGACTCCAAAATGCCGGTGATTATTATGCGACAAAGAGAAGTGTTGAATCCATAGGCATCCTTTTCACGGTTAAGCAGTAACTCACACCAATACAGCTTTAAAGTCTTTATCTAGCGCAAATTCGTTCGTGTATGGAAGCCTTTGTGACAGCTCCGCTCTACTGGTGGTAGACTTTGACACTTACAACCCAGTCGAATCGCCAAGCGATTTTTAGTGTTCCGGAGGTCCTTGTCTTCGGGATTTGCTATTTAAGAGGCCGTGTATATTAAAAGAAACTGAATTTCAGTTATTGTGCACTGAGTTTTACATATTAATTTTAATGTGAAGTGGTATATTATTGTATTTAATCCATATTGTTTATTTTCACTAAACATGTAAATCATTAAAATGAGAATTAATATAGTAAATTATAATTACAATATAAGAATGTGATATTAACAACACGTAAATTCACAGAGATTCAATTTCACATTTTTTTAGTCATTGCCATTATGCTATTCAAACGATGTTAAAATTGCGATAGATTTTGTAGGGATCGACAATGGGTCGGCAAAGTTGGATCAATGACAGTATTGACATGATAAAAGGCAGAAACTATACCTGCCTTGGGGAAGCAAAAAGATTTATTAAATTAGCAACCACTTTTTTGTGGAATCGGAGTAGCAAAATCACGACTACCTCAGAAAAGTGGCCAGCTTGTCGGTTTTCCATTGGCTACATTTCAGAGACTGTGCACAGCGCACTTTACACTCTAGCTTCACCACCACCGTTCCTCCTGGAGTTGACTGGAAAATCCGGAATACTCCATCCTTATCTCATTGATACACCATTTGTACGCGTGAATAGGCATTTTTTTAGACAAACGCGTGGCATCGTCGTGTGTCTAGTTTACTTTTTAAAAAGTACCTATGTACTTTATAGATTTTAATGATTTTGTACTTATCTATTTATTAACTGGAATTAAAGAAAATTTTTGTGTTCTATATTAATGTAGGAATTTTCAATACGACATATGATTTCTGTGTCAGATTTTGCAATCAAAATGAACGCATTTCAAGATTTTTTTATGTTTTTGTTTAAGTATAATACTTGCGTGATATTAAAATCTTGAAAATCGTTTTTGTTTTTCAAAAGAATCTAAAGAAATCTAAATGTACAGCTGAAATAAATTTACATTCTCCTGATCTGAAAAAATAAAAAAACTTTAGTTTTTTTAAGGTGCGCTCTCTTTAGAAATGTAAAAGTCCAGGACAAATTAAATATTTTTGATAATTAAATAATGGGTAATTATCTGTGATATTAAGTATTAGTTAGTGAGGATTAATTTATTATTTTTTTTAGAATTTAAGCAGTTTTAAGTTCCTCCATTTCTTCGCATCGTGTAACTCTGTTAAAAAATTTGTTGCTTCCTTCAATCTCTTTCAACATCTCATTTTATTTTAAGGTAAAAACTTGAAACTACTAAATTAAAGTTTAAACGAGAAAGACTTTTAGCCTAAGTTATTAATTACTTATTTATGTGTACTATTACTATATTAGTAAATGTCTGTAAACTGTATCCTGCGTCCTACTTGTTGTACATAAATTCTTTAATCTAATAGAAACTATTTTGTTACATCTACAATAGTATTACTTGAAAATAAATAAATTAATTCGACAAGGCATTTTTTGTTTTGTTTTTCAACACAAACCTAAGTTTTTAAACACAACGGAAACACTTAACACCTATGTTTATATGTAATATTTAAAAGACTATTCTTTGGAATGGAATATACAATACAGAAAGCTCCTGAATGGTTATCCAATTAGTAAAATAGACCTAGTATTGAAATATTTAATAGGCACAAGTAATTTATACCTGTAAAAGTAAACTACAAAAACCTAGTATTTTTTCAACAAGATATCACACTGCTATTATAATAGTGTCGTAACTCAAAATTGCGGAATTGAAAAAACACAGTTTGAAAATTAAAAAAAAAACGAATGGATCCTGTTGCGAATAACGTGACTGATTATTTTAATTTGTACGTAATACTTAATTATCCATTTATAAACGAGAATATGATAATATTTTTGGTTTCATTCAGTTTTTATTTAATCATGTTTTCTCAGTTAGACAATTTTGAATTACGACACTATAAATACAACAATTTCTGCCCTCGTATTACAACTATGCGTACTTCATACAGCAGTTTTGCCTTTTTTAATCTGAGGGCAGAATATTAAATATTACAATATTGTAACAGTGCGATTTAATAGTTACACTGCCCTCTACCAGATAGTAGTCACACTACGTGAACTTGTACTTTCGACACAGTTTTCAACAAAGTTTATCTACTCGACGTTAGATGGCGTTGTAATTAATTTTGTTTAACGCCATCTATTTATGTGAGGAAATATCACATAACTTATTCACTGTGCTGTAGTGTCACAATTTTCTGTTAGATAGCGCTACTTAGCTTTTTTTAAACCTGGACTTAGGACTCATAAGGCAGTGTTCATAGTGGGTTACACACGATGCGCTGTTTATAAAAAAATGTTATAACTAGAGCGGCCGCTGTTAACCACGCATGTTACGATTCTTAAAGCAATTTTCTTCGAATTTGCAGACAAAACCTAATTACTTTTAGTTATTAGCTACCAAAGTCACTAAAATGGTTAACAGTAGATGTATAAGATACTTAAATGTAGGATACTTACCTTGCCGGAGAGTTGCTGACAACAAAATTATATTATATATAATTATAATAATAATAACTTTATTGCAAATAATATAGAAACAAGTACAAAAGTTGTGCCTAGCTTGCAAACTAGAATACCCTGTAATGGGGTTATATAGATTATTTCGCAAAGAAAAGTTATAACAATGTCAGTAGTACTTTTCTTGCCGTAGTGCTTATATTGTATCAATATAAAATATTCAGTGTATGTAAATCATTGAATTTGGTCAGTACAGTGTAATTTGTGATTGTTTATGTGTGTGCCCATGGGACCCGCGACACAAGTTTCCCTAGTTTGGAGCTATGTTGAGTGTGTGCGTTATTATTATTATTATTATTATTATTTTTATAGAGCGCACCGAGGTACCCCATACTATCATATTCTAATATTTCATTTTACGGTAAACACTGTTACTGTCCATAAAAGAATTAAGTTAGACTAGAGTTTTTGGCACATTAAGTACCTAACTGTAGTTAGGTACTTAAGTAGTATACGTGGGTAGTATTATATCATGATTTTATCTGTCCTTTTTAGTGCGACTATAATCTCGATCCACAAAGCTCAGTCGATCAAATATCAGTTTCGTGTTGTTGTGTTGTCATAAATTGAACTGTTTCATTATTTGAGCTATTGTGAGTAGCGATCTATGTAGATGTTGACACTGCGTAGGTTTGTACCATGGTGTGCCTGTCGCTTTGTGCTTAAATCTCTTTGCAGTGTTTTTTTTATGATAGTAAGTGACGAAACGAACTAGCGTGGGCCTTGTGATAAGCGACACGCCTGTCTATAGACAGATAACAAATGCAGTGCCACTCAGATCTTTAAATCGCAAAGATCTGAGTGACACTGCCACTGCGCCTGTCACCATTTTTTTTAGTAATGCTCACATCTCACATTACTGCTCGGCAGCAGAATTACTTAATGTACAGTACTTTTCTGGACGAACTCTTTCACAAGGTGCTCTACTGCTACAAAAAAAATGTCCTGCTGGCGGAGAAGCATATGAGCGGGGTTGGCTAGTGGATGCAAGCTGTATAAAGTCGCAATTTATTCTCCTTTTCTCTGATTACTGAAGAAGAGATAGAGGCAGATCATAACAAAGGGGCGCAATCACGAACGGTCTTGACATGATCTTTAAACGAGAGCTTTCTATCAAGGGCAAGTCCGAAATCGTTGATCGTATTTTCCCAATAAATTTTGCAGTCGATAAGGTAGATAGGTGAGGAGATAGAAGTCCTCAACCTTTTGTAACCAATGGCACAGGTGTACATATGAATGCAGATGGAGTGATGCGAAACATAACTTGGGTCAGTACACTGAGCAGGACATCGCAGTGTCATCGACAAAGAGGGACTATCGCTATTATGAGGAAGATGAGAGGCGTGGAAAAATGTTTGAGAACGTTGTTGGAAATGCTATCGGGGTTTATCCTGTCCAATGCTCTCACAGTATCAGTCAGACATTCGACCTTTTCCTTGACCACGAATGCGAGGATAATGTTAAGTCTGTTAAGATCTGAACTACAGTGAATGCGTAAGTTCCTTGAATTTCTGATGGGTAGGCTCACCAATACAAATTATCCCTCGATTTTAACGTACTTCATCCATGCAGATTTTTAGGTCTGGCCCCCAGGAAGCTGCGATTTTTGTCAATGGGTAGGAGTTATAGCTATATATCTAACTGCCTCCGTGGCCGAACGGTTACCATGCCGGACTGCCACGCAGAGGTCCCAGGTTCGATTCCCGGGCCGGGAGAAATATTTGTATGGTCTACATTTATTTCTCTCGTGAGTTTGGGTGTAATTTATGGTTATCTATGTGTGTGACCATGGCACCCGCAACACAGGGTTTCCCTAGTGCGAGGCAATATTGAGTGTGTGCGCTATTATTATCATTATAAGTACTAGAGTGTCCATTAAGTTCCTTATATCGCAAACATCATTCAAAATTTGTCAAAATTATTATAATAGAAATACCGGATCTTAAATTTAGCTTCATTTATAATTTGAGAAATGCAACAATCTATGGCAGCGAGCTTTAGCTGAAAATAATGTATTTATTGTTGTTTATGAATTGTCGCTGGAGGTCTTTCACATTGTATTCAAATTACCTATACAAACAATAAGTTTGGTATTTTAAAAATGTATTGGGACCCATCTTAGCTACTATGTTTATTCATTATCTTTTTTGTTATTTTCAGAACTTAGCAACACATAAACGCAATAAAACAATTTCTAACGCTAGTTACTTAAGTGTTTATAAAGTAAAAAGCGTTCACGCATATTCCTATCAAAATTATGTCCATTTCTTTATCAGTCACTTAGCCATGAAAATGAGGTTAACGGATTTTTTTTCATTCTTCATCAATATCACGCTCTATTTCCCAGCCTTATTGACTGATTGTTAGGACAAACTGACATCATAAAATGCGTGTTAAGTAAATGAATTTTATAATATAATTTTAGTTTTAGAATAATCACGTAAGTCTTTAAAAAACAAATGAGCACGCGTTTAGTATGCATGTATAAGGTAGTAAAAAATAGAGTTTACGTAACGAGTATTTTAGTAATTTGTTATTCCTAAACCACCACTTTTAGTAATATGATTGTACGTATTTTTATATGTTATTATTATTACGTATGTTATTATAAAAACTAGTTGAATTGATAAGTAGGTTATTATTTGGTGTTGATATTTCTGTGGTAGAGTTTTCTGTACAGATATGACCCAGGTAGGTACTACCGAGTCATCTATATTTTCTACGACAAAATTAATTGCTTTGTTCGAGATATGTATGAAAAGCCAAGGAAATACAACACGGAGATTTAACATCTTATATTCCAGGACTGGCAACGCTTTTGCGATGTTAAAGGTACTAATGTCCACTTGCCCTTAACTTAGGTATGACTTAAACCAATGCTTTCAATGCAAAAGACACTCTTAATACATTGTGTCAAGAGTGTCTTATCAATTTAATATCTAGAGGCAGCGGCGGGCGGTTACATTTTACCAACTGGACAGTACATTTCTAGTTTTGGACTCTATACCTTAAAAAACACAAACAAAAAACTGAAGCGAACTCACGACCTGAAAGTTTTGAATGATTCATCAAATGATTATCAACCTTTATATTCCATCTCGAGTGGATCACGGATCTCCTCAGTGGAAACACCATAACTTAAAGAATAACTTAGCAGTATTAATTTCCATAATTACGATTTTATTTGTAAATATTCTGTGGTTATTGCTGTGACGATACGATTGATCTTATCTTATCAACGCAATGTTACCGCAACAAAGAAAAAGGTTGAAGAACCTCAACTGATAAAACTAAAGCTCTTGTACGTTACTGCAGCAACAGTTGCGTTCGCGCATAAATCGGTTAGAAAGTATCGACGACTGCAGTAGGAGACAGCGCGCGGACCGCGGTACACGCCAACGGTGCCTCGGCGCAAATGTTACCACGACCACGCGGGAAATAGTTGCGTCCGATTGAAAATAAGAACGAAATCGTGAAAAAATTAAAATATATAATACATATTGTTGAATTACAATTCGTGAAGATATTAAAAATGAGTGCCAGTGCACGGATTGTCGCCATCCTTCTTATGATTTCTGCTACTACAGCTGTTCCTGCGGGAGAAACGAGAAGAACTCTGGCTAATGGTATGTTTGTTTATTCATTGCACTTGAAACTAATTACTGTTGTAACTCAAATATATATAAAAAAATAGTGAAATTAAGAAAACGCGATTTTAAAGTTAAAAAAAATATAGAAAGGATCTTATTGCGAATAATGTGTTATTAATTATTGTTTATACAAAATATTTAGTCATCCATTTTTAAATGAGAATAAAAATTTATTGATTTCATTTTGTAAATTATTGAACTTTCAAATCGTGTTTTCTCGTTTCCACAATTATGAGATACGACAGTATATCGTTTGGATAATATGTTGTTAATGAAAAAAATCTTTTTCATTATTACACCTACACCTTTATCGAAACAATAACAATGACAGCAAGTCTGCAGAATGTTAACGTAGGACTAAATTATAGGTCTACTTCGTTTGTGTAGGCTGAATAGTACCAAAACTTAAATTTCAAACTAATAAGTGAAGTTTATTAGAGAACTAACGCCGAACGAAGGCTATTATAATAAACGGAAAAAGAAATACTAAGTAAATACAACTAAAATACAAAATAACCCTGAAATTAATTTAGCAAACAGGCGTTAAGGGAACTAAAACGTTTTACAAAACGAAAAAAGCTGTTACGCAATCCGCCCCAACGATTGGTCGGATACTAGTTGCAAAAGCAAACTTTTAAGCAAATTTCATGGTGAATAAAATTGAACTGCACGCTTATAGGTGACAATGACCTACTGAAAATGAGACGATACGCTTCATTTGGTCGCGAGAATAAATTAATACTTTACACAAAACGTAATTATTGTTTCTTAACTTTTGTAGAAAGATTTCTAAGACAATGGGTGAGAAATGTTACCAAATATATTAAGATTGTTGGTAAATACTATTGTTTGCCTCTTCTTCAAAATTACAAATCTGCCTTACAAGTTATTAAGTATTTAATTTTGTAACTCTAATTTTGGTGTACACCTTTTAGATACCAATATCGAATTTTTTAACATTAATGCTGTTAATACACATTACTGTTTAGATTGATTTCTTAATCGCGAAACGCGATGTTCTTTAGTTATTAATTAAATTAGACAATATCTAACAAAGCTTTTCAAATATTTGAAACAATAATTATATGTATGAAAATAATTTTGATTATAATTCAAGTAATAACCACAAATTAAAAGCATGCTAATGTAAGTAGCTTAATAACTATGAAATATGGTCATAAATATGTATGTTCCTATACTTGTACCCAAATGTAAGTTACGTTCTGTTTAACCATATCATGTTGTGGAAATGTACACAATATACTTTGTACTTGATACTCTTAAAAAAGACCACGTCAATACTACCATGAATATGATATGAAAAGACGCTAACGCGAGCTGAGGACGCGACAGAGATATATGTACGTATATCACCAGTGTAGCTCCATTGTTTGTTCCTTTTTCGATAGAGGCATTTTCGAGACGAGACTTGTTTTAAGTCTCGGGAATATCGAAACTTTTGAGACTTAAATCGCTTAATTAATTATAATTAAATTTAAAAATGTACTAAATTTAAATCCGTTTTAATATTCTATATAGTAAGGTTTATGTAATATTCAATCGTAAAGATACTCGTCTAAACTACGGAGTCGCCAGGGGCGAATACTTACCAAGTGAAGAATGGAAACCAGCAAATTGCTGAGGATTTTATCGTTTCTTCGTCATAGATTTAAACTTTTTTTTTTAATTTGTATATTCTTTGTTAAAGAACAAAGTCTTTTTTACTTATTCAAAAATTTTGAATATCTACTATGGGCTTGAACAGTCTTTTTTTATTCTGTTTACTACGAAATGACAATATAGTAGAATGGAGCGTCGTACAATCTGTGAAGACTGATGAACAGTAGTAACAAATTCAGGTCTTTTCTATCTGAAACTGTCCTACACGCACTTTGTTTCTTACGCGACCACTATAAAAATGAAATAATAAGTTTCATTAGTAATTTTTCATTTTATAGTTTTAATTAATGTAGAACTCAGTTAAATATCATGTTTTATTATTATCCAAAGTGGGTTTCTTACAACGTCGTAGGACAAAACTACTACGTTGGTGGCTTTATCCTACAATGCAGTAAAACCATTTCCGGAAACCCGGAATTCGAAAAAAGTAATGAATTAAAATTTGGTGGTTTTGACATCTCTAGATCACTCCTCGTAGCTGTATGTAGACATGTATCTATGTATGTGGAACACCTTTTTTCGGCCATTGATAATGACTCCACATTCACATTGAGTTCAATTACGCTCTCGTAAATTTCCATACCACATACTACCGGCTGGCAGCGGTACCATTGTCGCCTTTCTTGATTTAACTTTAAAGTTTTAAGATTGAGTGCAAAAACGTTGACAAATGTTCTTTTTTTTAATCTATTTCCCAGACTTAAAAATAACTTTAAGTGTAGTTACATAAAAACTTGTTAAAAATTCCATGATTCACATCCAAAATCTTGTATTGCTTCATCCTAGCCGGTTACAGCAGCGACTGCTTTTTATTTATCATTTTATTTCTATGCCTTTAGATAATATGTCCATATATGTAGGTTCAGTTTATTGATCTTAGATATTATTCAAAATGTCCCAATTTCCTAAAGAATAGACAACGTTGCGTTAGATATAATGACAATCTTTTTGCAAGCCTTTTGTTGCACTGAAATTGGCACAAGTATTGTTCAGTTTAAAATAAGCCATAAATCGGATTAACTTCTTTACCTTAGAATTCCTGTGTTGTAATATGGTTAGCTAACGAAACTATTTCGTATTTTTAACCGACTTCAAAAAAAAGGAAAAGGTACTCAATTGGACTTTATTGTCTCTCTCACACACTCTCTCTCTCTCTCTCTCTCTCTCTCTCTCTCTCTCTCTGTATGTGTGTGTGTGTGTGTGTGTTGTGTGTTTGTGTGTGTGTGTGTGTGTTTGTGTGTGTTTGTGTGTGATTACTCCGACATTTGTGAATCGATTTCGGCGATTCTTTTTTATTGGAAAGGGGGTGTTTGAGCAGTGGTCCCACTTAGACTTGAAGAAAATATTCCGCCTGTAATCCCAAAATGAGTAATTAAAGCACTTGTGTTATGGAAATGGGAAACAACGACGGTACCACAAACACCCAGAATCGAGACAATATAGAAAAGTTATTTTTTGTACATACTCCCATACTCCCGGCCGGAGATCAAACCCGGGACCTCAGAGATAGCGACAACATGCAAACCGGTATCAAGCCACTCGACCTTGGAGATCGTTATCATCAACCCATTTATACGACCCTCTGTTGAGTACGGGTCTTCTCTCATGCGAGGATTTAGGTCATATTTATGTGGCATGTATTTAAATTATCATTTTACATTTGAAAAAGCAGCCGGCAAAAAATCCAAACGGTCATCTTTAGTTGATTGTTCTTTTTTCTCCGACACATAAAATAAATCAAATCAATAAATTATGTTTATTGTGTTCTGAGCTAAAGAGCTAAAGTTTGATATGTATAAATTAACTTTTATAGTTTCATGTTGAGCCTCAAAAGTAAGACAAATGAGTATTAAAAAAACCTGAAACTATGTTCAGAAATGCAAGCAAATTGGTTTCTAGCACACGCCGGCCGCTGCCGCGACACGCTCGCTTCGCTCGCTCGGTTCATGCTGCTTACCATATACTAACATAACCTACTGAATGGAGGGAGGGATATGAAAAAAGAGAATCAAATATTATTTTTGTCTATCAAATATTAATTTACTATGCTTAAACATAATGATAATGTTACCTTGAATACAGATCATTTATAATTTATCCGTAGATCAACCAATGTAGACGGAACAGTTAATATAATATCAAACATAAAAAAAAATATTGTAAAAAAAGTGCACATTTACTATAGAACAATTATATCTTTGAGGATCAAATAATATTATTCCTATTTATATATTTCATATTCATATGTTATTGTATTCGGAAATCCAATTTTATTATTTTGGCAATTACGTATGCTACGTGTTCGTGAATTGTAATAATATTTAAAAGACGAACCGTAACGAAGGCAACAACTGTCGACATTACAAAACGCCACAATCTGCAGTTGGTCATCAAATTTTACTTAAAATCCGCACAAGGACTTCCTTTGCCTAACATTGCCTAATTGCTAACCTCTAAAGCTACAATGGAAGGTTTATACTTAATACTCGTGGTTTTCAACCATTGTTGTGGACGGAACCGTTCACTTCCGAACTTTCTTGTGTAACCACGTGAGATACTTCGCGGCTCACTTGTGTCTGTGTCGTAATTCGAGCTTTAGCCTTTTGTCGTCACTAGGGTAATCTTTTCTGTCCATCTGGGTCACTATTCTACATTTCGAGTCTTTATAGTAATCTAGAACGTATACGTTTTAATATTGACTCTCAATTATTATAATGGCCACAAGTAACTCGAAGGTGTGACATATTAATTTTTTACTCTTTGATTTTAAATTTGTCATTGTTATATTATGTAATTTGATAGTTTCAAAAATGTTACTTTTTGATGTGGAAGCTATCCATACCAATTACCTGGTCACAAACTTTAACTACCTCTGTGGCCAAACGGCTACCATGCTGGTCTGCCACATCAGTCATCAGGTCCTGAAGGGTAAGGGTGGTAGTGTAATTACAGGCACCTTTCAACTTGTGTCTCGGGGTGACGGGCGCAGTGACAGTGTCCCTCAGATCTTTGCGATTTAAAGCTCTGAGTGGCACTGCAACTGCTACGGACAGACGCGTCGTTTACCATATATGTAATTAACTACCTCCGTGACTAACAGGTCACCACGCTGGTCTTTCACGCAGAGGTCACGGATTCGATTCCCGAGCCGGGAGAAATATTTGTACGGCCTACATTTATTTCTCTAGTGAGTTGGGGTGTAATTAGTGGTTTCCCTAGTGCGGGGCTATGCGTGTGTGTGTTATTATTATTATTATTATAAATATAATAGCAACGGAATTCATCCCAGTGCACTC